CAATGGCACAATCTTGGCTCAACTGCAACCTCTGTTCCCTCCCAGGTTCAAGTGATTTTCTTCCTGCCTCAAGCCTCCCAAGTAAGCTGGGACCTAACAGGCATGGCGTACATGCCTCGGCTAATTTTGTATTTTTAGTAGAAGACGGGTTTTCAACCATGTTGGTCAGGCTGGTCCTCCGAACTGCCTTCAGACTTCAGGTGATCCGCCACCCCTCATTCCTCCAAAAGCTGTGGATTACAGGCGTCGAGCCACATGCTCCCGGCCTGATTTTTATCCTTTCAATATTAACCTTTTATTTGAGCTTTTCTTTTTTTTTTTTTTTTTTTTTTTTTTTTTGTGGCAGGGTCCCTTGCTCTATTACCCAGGCTGGAGTGCACGTGGCAGTCATCATAGCTCACTGCAGTCCTTGGCCTCCTTCGCCTCAAGTGATTTTCCCACCTCAGCCCTCTGGAGTAAGCTAGAACTACAGACATGTGCCACCAGAACACCCAGCCTAATTATTTATTTTTGGTAGCAGGACCGGGGTGTCCACTTATTATTTATTATTTATTATTTCATTTATTTTATTTATTTTGAGACAGCCAGTTTGGGCTCTGCTGCCCCAGGCTGGGAGTGCACATGGTGCGATCTTTGGCTTCACCAGCCAAACCTCCCGCCTCCGCTGGGTTCAAGCGCACTACTCCTGCCCTCAGCCTCCCACCATATTTTGAGACAGAGTTTGGCTCTTGCTGCCCAGGCTGGAGTGCAATGGTGCGATCTTGGCTCACCGAAACCTCCGCCTCCTGGGTTCAAGCGATACTCCTGCCTCAGCCTCCCACATAGCTGGGATTACAGGCATGAGCCACTACGCCTGGCTAATTTTGTATTTTTAGTAGAGACGGGGTTTCTCCATGTTGGTCAGGCTGGTCTCGAACTCCCAACCTCAGGTGATCCACCGACCTCAGCCTCCCAAAGTGCTGGGATTATAGGCTTGAGCCACCACACCTGACCTATTTTTATTTTTTTAGAGATAAGGTCTCGCTCTGTCACCCAGGCTGGAGGGCAGTGGCACAATTATAGCTCACTACAGTGTCCAACTCCTGGTGTCAAGCGATCCTCCCGCCTCAGCCTCCTGAGTAGCCAGGACCACAGGTACGCACTACAACTTATTTATTTATTCATTTATTTAGTAGGGACGGTGTCTTGCTATGTTGTCCAAGCTGGTCTCAAACTGGCCTAAAGCAATGCTTCCACCTCAGCTGCCAGAGGAACTGGCATTATAGGCCTGAGCCACTGCAGCCAGCCAGTTTGTTATTTTAATGTAAATTCTCAATAAACAACTCAAGAACTCTCTTGTCCTTTTAAAATCCATTTCTACTGCTGCTAATCCGAGTGTATATTCAGGGCAACTTGCATGTGTGCTCCTGGGATGCAATCCTCAAGCTTGGCCCAAATAAAGTCTCTGCTGATATTAATTTTGCCTAGGCTTCTTCCTATGAGGTCAACACTCTTTTTTTTTTTCTTTTTTTTTTTGAGACGGAGTCTCGCTCTGTCGCCCAGGCTGGAGTGCAGTGGCCGGATCTCAGCTCACTGCAAGCTCCGCCTCCCGGGTTCACGCCATTCTCCTGCCTCAGCCTCCCGAGTAGCTGGGACTACAGGCGCCCGCCAACTCACCCGGCTAGTTTTTTGTATTTTTTAGTAGAGACGGGGTTTCACCGTGTTAGCCAGGATGGTCTCGATCTCCTGACCTCGTGATCCACCCGTCTCGGCCTCCCAAAGTGCTGGGATTACAGGCTTGAGCCACCGCACCCGGCTTAGGTCAACACTCTTAAGGCTCATGTGGGGGTCTGTTCAGCTGCGTTTCAAAGGGACTCTAGACCCAGGAAGGCCCAGAACCACTGATGCTGAGTAACACCCTTGGCCTTCTGGGTCTGAGTTGCTATGGCCTTGGGCATGCTAGGACAGGCAAGTGAGTTTCACTGGGGCATGTGCTGGGTGGATGTTTCAGGTTCTTTTCTTTTTTTTTTTTTTTGTTTCAGAGACAGAGTCTTGCTCTGTCTCCCAGGCTGGCATGCAGTGGCGCAATCTTGGCTCACTGCAACTTCCACTTCCCAGGTTCAAGCAAATATCCTGCCTCAGCCTCCCTCTTCAGTAGCCAGGATTATAGACATGCGTCACCATGCCCGGGTAATTTTTGTATTTTTAGTAGAGATGGGATTTCACCATGTTGGACAGGCTGGTCTTGAACTCCTGACCTAAAATGATCCACCCGCCTTGATCCCAAAGTGCTGGGATTACAGTGTAAGCCACCGTGCCTGGCCTATTATGTTTTTTTAACTTTGGTCTTTCGGCCACCAAGAGCCCAGGAAGGCCACACGCACAGCTCTGCCAGATGCAGCCCAGGTGTCCAGGGCTCTCTGGTCCAGGACACCATGGCCTGGTCTGCCCTTATCCCCAGGCCTGAAGCCGCACCTGTCCACCCTGGAGACAGCTATGCAACATTCTCTTGCCAGGTGCTGTTTAATCTTGGGCCCTCCAGGGCCTGGAACAGCTCCCAGGGCCAGTCCTCCCTGCCCCCACCCAAGGACGTCCTCACCCCTGCAAGCTCAGCCGCATGCTCAGCAGTCAGGGCCACTGAGGCCACAGCCCCGCCGCGACCCACACCAGGCTGTCCTAGAGGGCCGCCCCAGCCCTGGAAGCCCCCTCAACCCTTCCTAGAGGCCCAGCCAGTGGCAATGGACCCTGGAGGGGACACTTCCTCTAGAGGCCTTTCTTGGCCTCAGCCAGCCCAGATAAAAACCCAGGAGCAGAGGAAACAGAGGCAGCGGAGTGACAGAGACGGAGCTGGGCTTCCCCGACAGCAGGGAGCTGCCTGGGTAGCACGAGGCTGCAGGAACGAGGAACGGGGTGCACAGCCCGTGGGGTGGGCTATTTGCCACCACCGCCCCCTGTTTACTGATGGAGACACTCACTAGCTCACAGGCAGCTCCACGTCTGTTTTCTCATTTGTATGATGAGAGAGAATAAAGAGGTGGTATCAGGGAATGATAGGGGCTCTGTGCCATGCGTGTCCACGAGGACAACACTGTACCCCCGAGTTTAGCAGGAAAGGAGAGGCAGGCAGGTTACCAGGGTGGCTGGAGGTGCAGTCAGCCTCCTTCCCTGCCCCTACCCGGGACCCCTGAAGGGGTGGCAGGTTGTGGGAGAGAACCATGGTGACAGAGGTTGGTGGGCAGTGCGACTCAGGCAGGCTGGGCACCTGCAACCCTGGGCAGGGAGGCCAGCTCCCCTCCTACTGTCTGTTCTCACAGACGTGACCATAAGCACCCAGCCCCTCCACCTTCAGCAAGCGGCTGCCTGGATGCACCCTCCCTCCCAACACGTCCCCACCCCCACCTCCTGGGCATTGCTGTCATCATGGGTCCTGCTCTCTGCTGCCCACCTGGTGCCTCTCCCAGCCTCCCCGCTTGGGGGCTGCACCCGGTAGCCCATGGCCAAGGTGACTGTAGGGTGGAAGGCAAGCTGCTCATCAGCTTCAGGGGCCCCACTGACCTCCAGGCATCCTCTCTTGTCCCCGACATTCCCCCTACTCCCACTACCTATCTTGCTGTGGCAGCATGGGACTGTCCCATCCTCCACCCCTAGGGCTATGGGGCTCACCCCTAGGATGACGGGGCTCCCTCCGACTCCCACTTGAGGTGCCACTCCCACTGCCTCAAGGGTCATTTGCTCTGAGGCCCCGCTTTGATCTTCTCCCTGACCTCCCGAGTGTGGCCTGCCCGAGTCAGCAGTGGGGGCTGACCCCTGGGGACCACTAAGCACGAAGTGCCCAGGAGCCAGGTACTGATGTGGCTCATGGCAGGGCAGCTCCACACGGTGATGGAATCCGGACTCCCTGTAGGTGGCTGAGAGGCAGCAGCAGTCCATACCTCACTGATTCTTGTGAAGGCTGTTACGACACCTGGGGCAGGCAGGCAGCATCGCGCAGGGCACAGAGGCGCCCTAGACTCCACGCAGCGGGGCCTCACCATCACACATGTGGCTTTCCAGCACCAAGGGACAGAGGCCCAGGAGCAGGGACTGCCATGGCAATGGCCCCCATCCCCACACCGTGCTGGCATCCCCGCTCAAGGCCCCTCATACCCAGCCACCACTGGTCAGACCTCACCAGCGTCTTCTCCCCTCCAGAGCTCACCTAGACTCTTCCCCCAGGGAGCCCCCCTGGACTGAGCAAGTGCTGTGCCAGAGCCCCTCTCCCTGTTCATCAGACGGTCCTAAGGTGACCTGAGCTCTCCCTGGGATGAGGGTGCACCCAGGAGGGGTTCAAGTTTGAAAGGATAGTGGGGCTGAGCCCCGGCAGGAATGCTGGGAGCCAGGGTTCCCACCATGGGGTTTCCAGACAAAATGGCATCAGTCAGCACCCAGAGAGCAGGTACAAAGGCCACACTGTGCGCCACGCGGCATAGGCCGGGCCTTGCCCTCTGTGCTGCCTCTGTGGGGACCGCTGCTTCCCTTCCTCTTCAGATTGCTGGCTCCTTCTCAGTGCTCAGTAACACCTCCCTCGAGGCCGGGTGCCGTGGCTCACACCTGTAATCCCAGAACTTTGGGAGGTGGAGGCAGGTGATCACCTGAGGTCAGGAGTTCGAGACCAGCCTGGCCAACATGGTAAAACCCTACGTCTACCAAAAATACAAAAACTTAGTCGGGCGTGGTAGCAGATACCTGTAATCCCACCTACTGAGGAGTCTGAGGCAGGAAAATCGCTTGAACTTGGGAGGCGGAGGTTGTGGTAAGCCGAGATCATGCCACTGCACTCCAGCCTGGGTGACAGAGTGAAACTGTCTCAAAAAAAAAACAAACAAAAAAAACACCTAGGCCCTCCCTAGCTTCCCCTTAATTAAGCCAAGACCCCCTACATTCTCCCTTTCAGCCCATCTGTACCCTCACCACTCTCACCCAGTCTGTGATGATGCCAGAATGCCTGGCACTCAGCAAAACAGCCATTCATAACCAAGGAGATGGACACAAACTGCAAGTGTTTATTGCAGAAATCTGGCCAAGATTCCAACTGCAGGGCCCCGGCACAGGGCTGGACAGGTGAGATAGGGAGAGGTGGAGGAAGCGATCTGGCCCAGGGCCTCAGAGCTGTGAGATGATGCTGGGTGCCAGACTGCAGGTGAGGCCTGTGCCATCTGGTTCCACATTCAGGGCCTTCACTATGCCATCCTGTACCACCATGGAGAACCTGCCGGAAAGAAGGGCCCAGCCAGCTGCCTCAGCCTGGGCTTGGAGGCTGGGCATAGAGACAGGCGGTGAAGAGCCAGGGGCCCAAGAGAACTCCAGAGAGGACTCCCCGACAGAGGACTCTCCCCGACAGAGGACTCCCCCACAGAGGACTCCCCCACAGAGGACTCCCCCCACAGAGGACTCCCCCCACAGAGGACTCTCTCCCCACAGAGGACTCTCTCCACAGAGGACTCTCCCCACAGAGGACTCTCTCCCCCACAGAGGACTCTCTCCCCACAGAGGACTCTCTCCACAGAGGACTCTCCCCACAGAGGACTCCCCCCCCCACAGAGGACTCCCC